ACACATGAGCTCTTCCAATTCAAAGGTTGGAATAGTCCATTATAAAATTTCAGGGGTGAATGAGTTAATACCTTAACTTAACAAGAAGATACGGTCGGTATATAGCAGGATAAATCAGCAGGGATGACATTTTCACGATTTTGCAGATCAAAATTACATGATCGCTAAAATGCGATCCGCAGAATCATATGACAAGCGTAAAAATAAGCAGAGATAATAAACTTCATACATGTAATGTCATCATGAAATAGCGCCCATGTCCACATGGTTGTATAAAGCGTATTCATTTGACTATTTGACACCTCTTATGCAGAGCGTCCTGTTTCTTTGCTAAAACACCATGAGATCTTAGTTCCTTCATGTCTAGGTTGTTAAATTTTAATTCATGTTAATTTAATTTTCAAATTTTGGGCAAAAACCGTGAAAATTTAAGCCCGTGTAAGTAACCCGTTATACGGTACAACAATCTAACACAGGTCCATTCTCAATAACGCCTGGCACTCATGAGAAACGATCTTGCATCCTGTAGAGCTGCACTTTAGCAATGAAAAGCAGTTCAGTTCAATTTCCCTGGATTATTTATAACAACTTTGAGCTGTTTTCAATGACATAAGTGATATTGAAAACAAATTTTTTCGCTAACTATTCTCAATTAATTTCAAAATCTTGTCTCTAATGCTTGCAGTCTTCAAATATTAGTTTATACTTAAGTACATTATAAAGGGCAGATGTGGGTCACCTGTTATTGAACAAATTACTAAAGTTTAACCTCATGCAAGCCATGGTTGGCAATGAGGCGTGGCAATAAAAATCACGTCTCAAGTCACAAGGAACTTAGGTTGAAGCAAAAATTGAGGTCACCGAAATCAGATATTTCAGGTGTAATGTTGTGATGACATTTTATTATCTGAAATTATTGGAATAAAATGAAATTGTTGTTTAACGTCAATGGTGTATTTCTGAAGGAAATTATCAAACATAAATACTCACAGAGCAATTAATATCAATGTTAGATTCAGACAATTTACATATCTATGAGAATAAATTAAAAAGAAGTATAATGAACTGGACATGAATCAATTTTTTTTTTTTTACGAATTTAATCTAGTGGATAAAAGCACTATTTTTAAAAAAGCCTTAAAAAATATGAACACCTGTAATATCAATCTAATCTTGTAGCAATTTGTGAAAATATTTGAATGATTTAAAACTTTTCAGCAACCCAACCCCCTTATTTTCATTTTCTTGCAAGTAATTAAGTCTGTAAATAAGGATGTTCAGATCAGTAAAAGGACATTGACACTAACAGGGGATGGGGGCTTTAAATAGACCCAATAGGATTCATGGATTGTGCTATTGTGTAGACTCTGTTTCAAACTTTTTTATTTTCATTATTTTAGTCATAATCTTTTTTTGGGGGGATGTTGTTGAAACATTGTTTTTGCTTTTTATTCCCCTAGAACATGCACTTTTCAAACTCATGAGCTTCATAAACACAATTCCAAAATCATACGAAATTCATAGATTTATTGTTTGAACAATCAGTCCCAATTGACATCAAAGGGCATCGTACAACAGACCTACAAAATTGGCTTAACATCGCGAAATACATACAACCCACATTTTTTTCAGACATTTTCAAAACAACTTTCCTCACGAAATTAACCTGAATATTGTATGACACACACACAATTGTTCAGTATTCCCCCATTTTTTTCGTATACCTGACTTTATACCTTTTGTGCAACAGGACTGGCCCGTTCATCAGTAATTGCCTTCTTCAAAATGAGTAAAGTTCTGAGGTTCATCTTCGATTTTCTGTATGTATTATGTACCAACCGCTGTTTTGTTAAGTGTTAGCTCAACAGCACGTATCAGGAGAGTGCAGACTCCCAACTGCTCAACATTGATTTTTAACATGTAATCAAGTAAACACCATTTTTCAAGCCTAACAGCACACATAGCTTTCTACACCCAAACTTTTATCTCTATGATGCAATATTCCTCCATCTTTGAAAAAAAAAACAATGAAAATATATTTCGGCAGGTATCTCTTTCTCCATCTGTGAACGTTTCAGTATAATGTGTTGTCTCCTCGATAGCTACATTGGATCTGATATTGTCCTTGCTGTACACACCGTCTAGACGATATAAAATCTAAACCTGACACTATTCCCTATCACAACCTCATGTGACCAATTTACAATCACAGTTTCCAATTCAGGTTGTCTGTATGCGAGCATGATTTCACACACCTAACATTACATTGTATCACGGGAGAGGAAAAATGCGTGGCCAGACCGGGTTTTGAACCAGTGGGACCTCTGAACATTAGATAGACCCTCTACCAATAGTGCTTAACCTGGTCGCCAGCAATCGACCTTAAGTCAAGTTCCACTACATTCCTCGATCCCTCTTTATTTGAAGTCTTCGCCCCTGAGAACAACATAATCAAAAGTACAACCCGCATTTGGGTATTTGCTTGCCTAACCTTCACCAAGTACACGAAACAAGGGTTTGTCACAGGCACCACTGAAACAGGAGATGAAATGCATGGCCAGGCAAGGATTGTGAAACAAGACATCCAAGACTATAGACTGATGCTCTTACCCATTTATTTACCAGCAATTGATCCAATCCAGCTGCATTACACTCCTCGCCCCAAAGACAACATAATATTTACAACCCAGGTTCAGGTATCGGGTAAAATGCACATCCTGACCAGGATTCGAACCCTGGGCCCGTATTCATGAAACCGTTCTCATGCTCAAGCATGGAATCTGTGCTCAAACGAACTTTCTGGTAACTCGCTTAGATCATGTCAAACGATCAAAAAGTCAAATGTAAACACTGAAAACAGTATTTGGCTATAAGTCTCTTCTAAATGTTTCCAAATCACAGATAAAATAAGATTGATTTATTGAGTTATAACCAGGACAAGAAATTAGGCTTGAGCACAAAATCCATGCTTGAGCATGAGAACTATTTCATGAATACGGGCAGAGGAGTCCTCCGACCTCTTCTAGATGGATGCTCTAATAATTGGAGCCATGAAAAAATATATTCTGTTCTCATGAAACCATGAACAATAATTGTCATAGAGCATGACTTTACAATCCTAGAATTACATTCGGACATCCTTGTATAAACATCGGTCACAGACTAACAGTACTTGAGTAGGCTGGTCTCTATGCACGTGTGGGTTAACTTTTCTATTATATCACTGTGTAACAACAAAGAGAGTTACTGTGCTTCCTCTGAGGACTGAACCAGCAAAAACTCTCAACTTCCTGTTCTGTCGCTGTACGGATTGAGATAAAGGGAAATTCCCTCGAGCGAAAATTTAAGCTAGAAGACAACAGTAACTTGATGTACAATTAAAACCTGCAACACTACTCCCTTATATAAAAAGTGTTAGCCATCAAACACCACAAAAACAGGTTATAATTCCGTGTCACCACAGGGAGGGTCACAGACACCATTTGTAAAACGAAACAAGAGGCCTAGGGGCCTTAATAGCTCACCTGGTATTTTATTTTTCAATTTAAAACCTGCTGAGTACCATTCAGGTTTATCAAAAGAGTACAAGTAACAAAGTTGCATCTTCCATTTATAAATATTCAATTCCCTTTGCCCAAAGATTCTCTAAAACAAGTTTGGTTAGGTTAAAATCCCTTCAACGGTACAGAAGGAGAAGGATCTTTAATGTTTTCCTCTATTTCCCCTAATGGGCCCCACTAATCTGCCCCAAAGAAGGGGAATCCACACACCTCAGTTTAAACAAAATTGAT